AATAGATTTGTATTTATTTTGATGTTGTTCAGATTAGATAAATTGCTTTAGATAGTGAATGTTTCTGAGTTAGTAGGCTGTGTTAGGTTTTTGTCTCTATCAAATTTTTTTTGACATTGTTATTGTTGGTAATAATATTGTTATTTTTTTTGTGGTTGTATATTTTTATGCCTTTTCTTGCTACTGACAATATATATATATATATATATATATATATATATATATATATATATATATATATATATATATATTGGAAATAAAACGGCAAGACAAGATGCACCATTTATGATTAAAAAAATTAACAAGCCGACTGGTTTCGCCCGCACTCAGCAGAGTTGAAATTAAGATTAAATGTTACAATATAAAATATAAAACATAAGAAGCATGTAATGAAATAAAGGCATGACACTCAGATGGGAATAATGTCAAGCCCTATCAGACATTCCCTCTGTTTACAGAGGGACGGATGACTGGACCTGACATAGAACGTTTCCAATGCTTTTAAATGCAATAAAGAAGGAGCATGACTAAGGATAGGGAAAGAGTCAATGCTGAAATTGGTGGCACAGCTTAGATTATTTATAAGGTGCTCAGCGATAGCGGAACAGGATGTGTTGTTATATCTTATCAATATATATATATATATATATATATATATATATATATACTAATAATGTTATAAATATAAGCAGCTATACTCGTCCGGCAAAACCTTAGGTGTCTTAGCTTGCAAATGAACAAACCAATACCTAAGGGAAAAAAGGGTAAAAAAAGAAAGAACTAAGAACATGTACTTCCGGCGAAAGTAATCGTGAAGTTCAGAGTCCAAAGAAAAAAACCTCTGGCACGAGTAAAATAAAAATAACTAAACAATATATAATATTTCTCGTTTTCACTCTCGCGTAGTCATAAGTGACGTCACTAGCTGCGACGCGATTTTCGTTTCCGCTTCTCGTATACACGAGTTAGTCGTTGCTTTGAAATTTTTCATGCAACAAAAACGGACTATCGGACAATATGAAAGGAACTTAAAATAAATAGACAAAACTTGTCCATATTATTTAATGAAACAGGCATTAATGAAAATTGATGCCTAAATATATTTAATATATATATATATATATATATATATATATATATATATATATATATATATGTGTGTGTGTGTGTGTGTGTGTGTGTGTGTGTGGTCTATATATATATTAAAAAATGCAGTATATATAATATTAATATTTAATGAAACATGCATTATGTAATTATATATATATATATATATATATATATATATATATATATATATATAACACTAATAAACTTATAAATATAAGTAGCTATACTGTCCGGCAAAACCTTAGGTGTTTTAGCTTGTGAAGGAACAAAACTAATACCCAAGGAATAAAAAAAGGGTAAAAAAAAAAAAGAAAGAACTAAAAACATGTACTTCCGGCGAAAATAATCGTCTAGAATCTAAGTTCAGAGTCCAAAGAAAAAAAATCTACGACACGAGTAAAGTAAAATTAACTAAGCGAAGTGCTCAATACGCTAAGTAGAGCAAACTAAGTAAGTTTACCCTGACGATCCGCGGAGGTGAAACCTAGGTAGGTTTGTCTGGCTTACTTATATATATATATATATATATATGTGTGTGTGTGTGTGTGTGTGTATGTGCATGTGTGTGTGTGTGTGTATGTATCTGCGCGTGTGTCTGTGTGCTCTCTTACAAATGGATATCATATTTCTTCTGTCAAAACAACAATATTTGATTGGTATTTCATGGCGTGTTATTGCTTAGCAACTTATTCAACGTCTGAACAACCCAATTATTGAAAAACATTCAACCTCCCACCATCATCACTTCCCTGATGCGACAAACGTAAAAAGGAAAGCATAAGGGAAAAAATGGGTGAATTGGCATTGGAAGAAATTTCGAAGAAGCTATTAAAATCCACCCAGGCATTGTGTTCAAACACGCATGCGTCGTCGCCTGTTTCCGTTAAGTTGAATGAGGATGTCGCAAATTTTTTCCTGACGATGGAAAAGGTCAAATGGTACTTAAAATACAAAATGGCGATGGTCTAACATTACATGTACCCATAAGGATTCTGAAATTGTAGTCGCTTGACATTTCTACATCATTTTCAATATAGTTATTTATTAAGAACAGTTCCGTTTGGCACAAGACTACAGACTGAAGAGAATCCAGTTAGGATTGAATTCACCAATACGTAATGATGAACAGAGAGTCAAGCTTACTAAACATTACACCACGATACAACACACTCTCCTCTCTCTCCCATATATACATATTATATAACATGTAATACAATAATATACATATTATATATCATAATAAAAATAATAACGGTAGCTATTAATACAAGCAATTAATATACGTAAAATCTTATAATCTATCCTATTAACAGAATTTCTGCTAATAAACTTCTCAATATTAGACTTGAGCGATAATTACTATTAAATTAGATATAATAACGTTCAATGCTTATCGAAGGTCGCCTCAATCATTTTTCAATTGCACATCTGGACTTTCGACTTGTATCGAAAGTCCCGAAGAGTGACTGAAAAATTACGAAACGCTGAGTCGACCTTCGATAAGTATTAAACGTTATTATATCTGATTTAATAATTGTTATATCTTATATATAAAATACAGTGTATGTGTGTGCATTTGTGTGTGTGTGTGTGTCCGAGCAACTCCCTCGCTCCCAGTGGTCCGATTTCAATGATTCCTAGCTCATTCAAAAGTCCTAGAGAATTTAGTTGCAGGGAACGATTCTTGTTGAGCTCAGATTGGGCAAGGTTAATAATATATATTAATATATTATACAAGCCATTATCGTTGCTTTCATGTTTCAAGGGTAGTAAGATTTATTTTTCTTTTGTATCCAAAATTGCAGTGCACGTTTTATTATAAATAACTTAAAAGCCGTTCTATCGGTCGGCTAGCTCCTGTAGAGCACACTTGGTTTGGCCATCATCACAATAGCTAGGGAGAAGTAGATGTGAGGCATCAATAAACTACAGAAGAACTCAAAATTGATCGCTGTATTTAAGCATTGAATGAATGTTTAAGCTTACCTTTTAAAAGTTCAACGATAATTCTTCTGCTGCCATTTAATTTAAAGACGATTTGATGTACGTAGATCCTTACTTTCCGTTACAAACATTTATTTTTATTTCATGAGTGATAGAACAGGGGACAATTTGTGAGATAAAATTAATATAGTGTAAAGATGGGAAAATAGAAATTAGAATTAATTATACATTCAACATTTGAAGAGTTAGAGAAAACTTAATAGCTAATTAAGTAAAAACTATATTATGGAATCTATATGAATTTATGTGAAATCGGAGATCGAATCTCCCATGAATTCTGAGATTTTTGGCGGAATGAATTGCATCATGGTTTTCTCACAGACGGTGACCAACTGACCCTACTATACTATGCAGTCGAGAAAATAAACGCGCATGCGCGAAATAAAAAATTAAAATGACAACATTTTACCCATCGCACCCTATATATATATATAGACCGACATTTATTTAAGACATTTTTTATGTTTATATGTTCTTTTTATATATACAAATATTTAAGTAAATGCTCTGTTTATAATAAACAGTATTAACGACATTTACCGGCCTGACACTACGTTTGAATGAAAACTCTAACATTTTTAGGCATTTAAAACAACATGCCTGCCCGCACTCACAATTCCGTAAAATACTTGTCGAAAACACAATTATACTTCGACATGAAAACAATAGACAAAACTAAAATCCTTTTTGAAGCATTATACATCAAACAGTTGAAACCAACCTAAACAAAATCAATTATAGCATCTCTACAAATATTCTTAAATGTCTATAATTGGTAACAGAAGCCATTGGTTTATACCAACGGCTTTCCATACTTCATTCTCCAATTCACTCTCGTGTGGTCATGTGTGACGTCATGAGATGCGGTGCGATTTTCGCTTCTAGCGTCTTATATGCACGTGTTTATCGTTGCTTAGAAATCATCTATGTAAACAGACTATCATCACTGTCGTGTCCGTATATTGTTTAATATGTTGTAAATGACATCTTTGATACTGGCTTATGTAAGCCGAAAGCTTAGATTGTATTAAAAAAAAATATGGATCAATACAGAATTTCTTTCTTCGTTCAACGATAATGTTATTAAACTTATCAGACGTTACGAAAAAAAATTACGTAAAATAAATAGACAACACTTGTCTATATTATTTAATGAAACGTGCATGAATGAAAAGATGCTGCCTAAATACACATATATATATATATATATATATATATATATATATATATATATTTGAAAATTTTATTGATGGTACGTAACGTAATAACCGCTATAAATAGACAAAATTTATTTTTAATATTGCCACACATGATAACAATTAAAAGAAGAAAAAAAGAAAAACGAGCTAGCTAACCGGTTTCGAACCTCGCTCAACAGAGCTAAATCGAGCTTAATAAATAGTTATACATTATCAATAAAAGAATTGGAGAGCATATGAAAAACAAATATTTAAATGGAAATCATAATAATTGCCTGATTTATTTATTTAAATGTAGTTACAGTTGGCACAACATAAGAAGAACGACTCAAAAACTAGATATTAGAATTAAACAAAAAGCCAGAATTCTAATTATTTACCTCTTGATGTTCTGACCAATACATACGGGTCTTCCTTATAAATAACCGCAGTTGTGCTGCTAATTTTAACATGGACTCATTTTTTTTCCATCTTGAGTTGGTGCCACTGTAATTACAACCTAAAAATATTGGAAGCCATAAACATTTGATCTATGAAACCTTCTCTTTGCAAACAGAAGGATTTTGTTCTTGGCCTACAATTGATTTTTATTGATTAATGTTTGCGTGAAAGTAAATATAACGAACCCGACTGGAATTGAAACTCGGCTCTTCGATTAACAATTCTGTGCCAACGGTACATCAAAGC